TAGCAGCTCTATTTATAATCGCCGAAAAATGGAAACAACCCAAATGTCCATCAACTGATGAATGGTTACACAAAATGTGATTTATTCATGCAAGGAAATATTATTCAACCATAAAAATGAATGAATTACTGATACATACTACAACATAGATGAACCTTGAAAATAGTATGCTAAGTGAAAGAAACCAACCATAAAGAAAAATCATATAGTGTATGATTCCATTTATATAAAATGCCCAGAATAGGTAAATCTGAGAGACAGAAAGTAGATTAGTTAGATTGTCAGGGGCTGGGGGTCAGGGGAAATGGAGAATGACTGCTTAATGGGGATGTTTCTTTTGGAGGTGATGAAATGTTCTGGAATTAGATAGTGGGCATGGTTGCATAACTCTGTGACTACTAAAAACCATTGCAACGTACATGCAGAAGGGTGAATTTTATGGTATGTGAATTATATCTCAATAAAGCTGTTACTTTTAAAAATCTATAGAACTTAGTATGGATTTAGATAAGTGAGGTGAGGGAGAAGGTGGTGTCAAGGATAACACTGAGGTATGTGGCTCATACAAGTGAATAGAAAGAGGTTGCACCAGGTGGTCAGAGGGAGGTGGAGATAAAGGTCCTGAGTTTGAAGTTTCTGAGTCTTCCAAGAAGGCAGGCACTGAACCCAAATGACACTGCAGTTAGAAGCAGTCATTCAGCTGGTCCAAAATATACTCTATTAGAAATATTTTAAGAGTATCACCTAATATAAATGAAAACATAAACTTAAAATTCTTGTAGAAAACTCAAGGACCACTGAAAATAAGTCTATGAGGTTCTGGGAAAACTGGTTGAAGAAATGCAACATTGAGTATAAAACTCACTTCCCCACTGGTTGTGGGACACCTACCTGTAATCCCCAGAGAGTATAGTCAGCAGGGGGAACGGATGTTGCCTCTTTAAGTCCACTATTGAATAAAAATAATAATAATTAAAAAAAAAAAACATTTTAAAGAACATAAGTTCAGCTTTCCTCCTAAGAAATTATTTGAAATGTTTTTATAATAGAGATTTGGCATCCAGGAAAACTAGGGGTTTTCCATAAGACTGGAATTTTTATTTATTTATTTATTTGTTTGTTTGTTTGTTTGTTTGTTTTTTATTCTCACTCGAGGACATTTTTTCGTTTTTGTTCAGATAGAGTGGGAAGGAGAGAGAGGAAGAGAGAGAGAGAGAAACATCGACATGAAAGGGACACATTGAGTGGTTGCCACCCGCACAACCCAACCAGGGCTGGGGACAAATTGCAACGAGGTACGTGCCCTTAGCGGGAACCGAACCTGACTCTCTCTGGACCATAGGCCGACGCTCTAACCGCTGAGCCAAACCGGCCAGGGCAAGACTGGAATTTTTAAAACTTAATATAATTTTATTGTATTTGACTATCTGAAACTATTATTCTCCTATCTTATTATACAAGCCAAACTTGTTTTGCAAGGCACTACAATGTTCTTTGCTGGCTCCATTCAGGATATTCAATTCCATCATATGCACCACCAACCCTGACTAGCAAAAAGTATGACTGTATTGTATGTGTGTACTATTAAATTATAACCATAAGCCCACATGCCTCCAAAAAAACCCAAACCTCAGAGTGATTCGCTGTTTATTTCCTGCTTTCCTCATTCATATTCTTGTGCCACTTGTTCATTTATTTTATCTGGCTGACAGGTAGCTGACAAATGGATGCACACACTAAAAACCTTAAGGAAAATATAGGGAGTGAAACTTAAAATTGAGAAAATTCTTTTCAAGTGATATTATGTTCTAGACATTAAGAAGAGTTGTCATTACTCTCATTTGGTGCTAAACCCCCTGGGTCTGGCCTGTAGAGCATCAGTATTTGGGGAGGGCAGGATTTAGAATACCTGAATCTGAAGTGCAGAAGTGGTAACAAAGGTAGTGATGTGCATGAAGCCTAGCAACAGAGTAACTAGGTTCTGAAAATGTCAGTTTCTTCTGAGAAATATCTTGTATTTGGATCACTGTTGTCACAAAGAACTGTGAGTTCATTGATTCATTTGGAAAATGTTTATTGAGCACTACTATGGGTTAAGCACTGAAGATACAAAGATGACCCATATTGTCTGCTGTCTTGAATATCTGTCCCCCCTCTCCTCCCTTGGGTCCTTTGTCTAGCTGACTTTCATTCATGTTTTAGGACTCAAGTGTTGCCACCTCCCAGATGCCTTCCCCATCCCTCTCATGTTCTTTTCACACTCCAAACTTTTCCTTTCATGGCACTTACCCACTAAAATAGGTGGTTCTGTTTTTTTGTTTTTTAGTTGTTTTTTTTCTTTCTTTCTGGTCCGTGGGCCAATGTTCTAACCGCTGAGCAAAACTGGCCAGGGCAGGGTTTTTTTCTTTACTGATTTTAGAGAGGGAGGGAAGGAGAGGTAAAGAGAGAGATAGAAACATCAATGAGAGAGAACATCGATTGGCCATCTCTTGCTTGCCCCACACTGGGGATCAGGCCCACAACCTGGGCATGTGTCCTGACCAGGAATCAAACCAGCAACCCCTTGGTCAGCGCTCAACCACTGAGCCACACTGGCTGGGCTGTTTTTTAATTTACCATTTTAAAGTGTACAGTTCAGTGATATTGAGTGCATTTACATCGTTATACAATCGATCTCCAGAACTTATTTCATCTTCCCAAATTGAAACTCTACTCCCTTTATTTTAAAAAAAAAAATTTTTTTCCTATTGATTTTAGAGAGAGAGGAAGTGAGAGGGAGAAAGAGAGAGAAACATCTATGAGAGAGAACATCAATTGACTGCCTCCTGCATGCCCTGCACTAGGGATCAGGCCCACAATCTGGGCATATGTCCTGACCGGGAATCGAACCGGCGACCTCTTGGTGCATGGGTTGATGCTCAACCACTGAGCCACACCGGCCAGACTCTACCCCACTTTAGACACTAACTTCCCTCTCTTTCCTTCCCCAGCCCCTGGCAACCACCATTCTTTCTGTCTCTATGTATTTGATTGCTCAAGGAAATTCATGCAAGTGGAATCATACAACCCCTTTGTGCCAGATTTATTCCACTCAACATCATGTCATTAGGCTTCATCCATGTTATAGCATATATCAGAACTTCCCCTTTTTTGCCCTGGCTGGTATAGCTTAGTAGTTACAACTTCGGCCTGTGTACCGGAGAGTTGCAGGTTCGATTCCCAGTCAATAGCATGTACCTGGGTTGCAGGTTCTATCCCCAGCCGTGGTCAGGGGATGTGCGGAGGCAACCAGTCGATTGTTGAGATGTGTGTCTCTCTCACATCAGTGTTTCTCTGTCTCTCTCCTTCCCTGCTCCCTTCCACTCTCTAAAAATCAATAGAAAAAATATCCTCTGGTGAAGACTAACAAAAAAAAAAAAAAACTTACTTTTTAAGGCTGAATGATATCCCATAGTACACATATACTACATCCTGGTTTTCCATCTATCTGTCAATGGCCACTTAGGTTGCTTCTACTTTATGGCTATTGTGAATAATGCTGCTCTGAACAGGAGTGTATTAATATCTTTGGGGACCCTGCTTTCAGTTCTTTGGGGTCTGTGTCCAGGAGTGGGATTGCTGGGTCTTATGGTCGTCTGGTTTTTATTTATTTATTTACTTTCACGTTTGAAGAATGGGTGGTTCTGTTGTGTTCTCCTGAGCAGGACTGCTACAGGCAAAGGGCAGCAGTGGGATGTCTGAGGGCATTCAGTGGAGCAAAAGCGTTATATCTAGAGGAAGTGCAGCAAAAATTTGCTGGATGAAGGATATTTAGTAAGGGAGATAATTTGTAAACAAATAATTGCACAAAGTTCAGGTTCTATTAGGGGTGTATAAAATGTGACGGTAATCTGGCTGGTGTGGCTCAGTGGCTGAGCATCGATCCATACACCAAGAGGTCGGCAGTTCGATTCCCGATCAGGACACATGCCCAGGTTGTGGGCCTGATTCCCAGTGGGGGGCGTGCAGGAGGCGGCCAGTCGATGTTCTCTCTCATCGATGTTTCTCTCTCTCTCTTTCTCTCCCTTCCTCTCTCTCTAAAACTCAATTAAAAAAAAAAAAAGTGATGGTAGATAAAGGGAGCAAAAACGGTGGAGGATAAGATCAGGAAAAATGGGCAATGAGTTTTTGGTATTTTCTCTAAAGTAATAAATTACAAATGTTTATGAAGCCTCTTCTAAAATATTTGTATTGTAACAAATAAGTGCTCATTTAAAAAACACTCATGCATGACAGAAATGTGTAAAGCAGAAAGTAAAAGTCTTTACCTTACCATTCTATAAGAATGATCACCATTAACAGGATGGTGTAGATTCTTCTATGCATAATCTAAGAGGCTTTATAAATGATTTTAAGTGCACCTTTGTTTTGTTTTGTTTTGTTTTTATATCCTCACCCGAGGACATTTTTCCGTATTTTGTTCAAATAGAGTGGGAGGGAGAGAGGGAGAGAGAAACATCGATGTGAAAGGGACACATTGAGTGGCTGCCACCTGCACGACCCAACCAGGGCCGAGGACAAACTGCAACCGAGGTACGTGCCCTTAGCGGGAACCAAATCCGGGTCTCTCTGGGCCGCAGGCCGACGCTAACTGCTGAGCCTAACCGGCCAGGGCTTAAGTGCACTTTGTGAACATGGGAAAATTACCGATGTAATATGTTCTAGATATTTTGGGGTGAAGCACCATTTTTTGCACAGTGAAATTCTGTTAAGGAAAGCTGCCATCAACAGAAATGAAAACGAATCCCTTGATTTATTAGGAAATTTTGTTAGTTGTATTATTTGATGATTCTTTCTTTTTATGGTGGCTCAATTTTAGAGTGACTAAGAAAATAAGATCAGTGTTTCTTATCTCCTAATGAAGGGTTGAGACCACACAGATAATGGTGGTTAGTATTTATTTGGAGAGTTCTGCCTTTGCTTTAATAAAAAGACTAATTTCTTTAAAATCCATGGTGGTTATCACTTTTCGGCATTTTGGCTAAGATCAAGTGTAGTATCTATTCTTATCAGTTTAATATCTAATATGTCCTCTATCCAAGGACAGTAGTTAAATGGATTTGGGGGATTGGGATATGGAATAGGAGCTTGCTCTGTCCACTACATACATTGACCTGCTATTGCAGTACTTCTAGGAACGGTGCACACACACAAAAAATCCATGGTGGTGCCCTGACCAGGTTTTCTCAGTGGTTAGAATGTTGGCCTGCAGACTGAAGGGTCATAGGTTCGATTTGAGTCAAGGGCATGTATCTGGGTTTCGGGTTTAATTCCCGGTCCTGGCTGGGGTCATACCTGAGGCAACCAGTCGACGCCTGTCTCACATCGATGTTTCTCTCTCCTTCCCTCCTTCCCTTTCACTCTATCTAAAAATCAATGGAAAGATATCCTTGGGTGAGGGTTCACAAACAAACAAACAAAAAATCCATGGTGGCAGGCTAATGATGGGAACGAAAGGGCACAGATTTTATTATATTAAATGTCTGTCATCTACCTTGGATAATTTATATGTTAATTAAATATCTGGTTTAATATCAATCTGTCTTTAAGAAAAACATTCACGCCCTGGCCGGTTTGGCTCAGCGGTTAGAGCGTCGGCCTGCGGTCCAGAGAGACCTGGGTTCGGTTCCCGCTAAGGGCACGTACCTCGGTTGCAGTTTGTCCCCGGCCCTGGTTGGGTCGTGTGGGTGGCGACCACTCGATGTGTCCCTTTCACATCGATGTTTCTCTCTCTCTCTCTCTCTCTCCCTCCCACTTTATCTGAACAAAATATCGAAAAATGTCCTCGGGTGAGGATAAAAAAAAAAGAAAAAACATTCACTTCCTATAAAAAATAACTGACTATTCTGTAGTTCATATTACCTAGACTATTGAAAAGCACCTTCTTAGAAACTGACCCATATGAGACTTCATATTTGATTTGTGACTTTGGCTAACATTGGAAGGATCTCCTGGTGGGAAGCCTTAAAACTCTCTGTTAGTTCTCTGACAGATGAACCTGGCCTCATTCATGTAAATGAGGTGGCTGCGTAAATACAGTTTACAGATAAATCCCCATATTAGTTATCCTACATGTTCTTTTCTAGGGCTGCCAGCAAAAAATAAAATGTACTAATGCCTAATGCCATTTAAAGAACAAAGTAGAGTACAAAAATCAAATGCTAGTCTCCTTGCCTCTGTGTCCTCTGTGAGCCTTTGAAGTGGGGGCTAAGTGGGGTAGTGTCGTATAATAAATGGCCAGAAGTCTCAGAAGGGGAAAAGGGTTGGATTGATCCACAAGCTAATTAATGAGGCCCTACCCAAGCACACTCTAGCAGACAAAACCGAGAAAGAGCAGCCCAATGATACTGCGCACACTAAGGCCAATATTAAATAAATGTTTCTCAGGTTTTAAATGATCAATCTTTTTCTCTAAAATACCTCATCTTTTTTGATCCTTAGCAAGAGCAGGCAGTAGATGAGTACCTGCTATGTTAGATTTATTTTTCTCCTCTGTGCTACAGACAGTATAATAAATTGCGAAACCTCCTGAAGGATGCGCGTCATGATTGCATTCTCTTTGCTAATGAATTCCAGCAGTACTGCTATCTCCCTCGGGAAAGAGGAGAATCCATGGAAAAGTGGCAGACCAGGTATGGCACTGAATTGTTGTGAGTTTTCACATGATCATCTTCTATAATTTCTTTTTCCTTTTTTGTTTTTAATGTTTTTATTGATTGTTTTAGAGAGTGAGAAAGGAAGAGAGAGATAGAAACATGGATGTGAGAAACATCAATCGCTGTCTCCTGCACGCCTCCTACTAGGGATGGAGCCTGCAACCCGGGCATGTGCCCTGACTGGGAATCGAACTGGGACCTCTCAGTCCATGGGAGGACACTCAGTCCACTGAGCCATACTGACTGGGTTGTAATTTCTTTATTATTGGCTATTTGGGCGTTGAACTAAGTGGTATGCTAAAATCAATTATTTCTGGAACCATGATTAATGTTAAAATGTTTAATGTGTCATTATTTTAGGTATGTTATTTGAACACATAATTGATGTATTTTAGAAATTGTAATTAGGGAGGTATAGGAGCCAGAGTAAGTTTGCCCCAGACCCTAAGGGTCATTCTGGTGATCCAAAAGTCATAACTTTAATGCTATGGGGGTGGAGGGAGTCTTACTTTAAGCTAAGATCTCAATTTTTCTGATATGGCTCTAATATCCCCACTAGTCTTATTAAACTGAAACTAGTAGGTTAATTCTAGCAGAGCTGTTTTATGAAGAGCTGTGTCATAGTTTTAGATCTACCTAAAAGCAGAACCTGAAGCAAGGACTCAGTGAACTGTTTACATCTGAGGTGCCTCCCATCCGCAGGACTGAGGAAGGAGGGAGAGTTGGACAGAGAGGGAGGGAAAGCAGTAAAGGATGCGTTACTGCTGTGGGAGACTGAGGCTCCGTCCTGCTGGGACCCTCTGAGAAGCCGAGTAGAGTGTGCCTAAGAAGTCGCCTCGAAGGGCAGAGGCTAGGACTTTTAGTTAGTGTCCCTTTAGCTGAGGGTCATTCCCCAAAGGTGTTAACTCCTCTCATTGGGCCCTTGAGGGGGGATGGAACTGCCCACCCAGCCACAGCTGCAGTCAGGTGGGCCCAAGGCACAGGTTCTCTTCGGTACAGAGCAAAAGAAACCTTAATCTTTAAAATGTCTTATCCAGCCCTGGCCGGTTTGGCTCAGCGGTTAGAGCATCGGCCTGCGGTCCTGAGACCCGGGTTCGGTTCCCGCTAAGGGCACGTACCTCGGTTGCAGTTTGTCCCCGGCTCTGGTCAGTCGTGCGGGTGGCAGCCACTCGATGTGTCCCTTTCACATCGATGTTTCTCTCTCTCTCTGTTCCTCTCTCTCCCTCCCACTCTACCTGAACAAAAAAAAATAAAAATAAAAAAAATAAAATGTCTTATCCATACAAAACATTTAAATCATTTTTTTCTTGTAGTTTTTAAAATCTGTATAGCCATGAAATATTTAGTTCTCTAAAACAAAATAAGCATTGAGACATAACGAATCCTTAATTATAGTCACCAGGTTCCCACCGGGCTCAGTACCAGAAAGGGAAAAGCAAATCTTTTTCTAGAATGGGTAATTTATGAGTGCTCAGAATGGTCGCACTTCCAACTCACAGCCTCGCGTGTGGTAGGTACTCAATATATGCTGGCTGAGTCTTTTTTAACGTTTAGAACTAAAGCAGCCTTATACAGCATCTAAATTTGCAGCGAGGGAAACAGATGCCCACAGAAATGGCTGTCCCGGTTGACACACGTCATTGTAAACATCCGTTCTTGAACACCTGTCTCTAGACCTCCACTCTGTTGTTCAATTCAGATTCTTTTCAGGAAGAGTTTCAGTCAGTTCTTGTGGATCCACATCAGGCCTTTTTGGATTATGATCTTCAGCTACTTGAAGCCTAGTTTTTCTCTCACACAAAGACTTGTTTCTTTATCATGTAAGCCTTACATAGCTTGTCATCCATGGGGCACTGTGTCACACAGCCCTCCAGTTTAAAAGTGATAACATCCCTGGCCAGGTAGCTCAGTTGGTTGGAGTGTTGTCCCAATGTGCCAAGGTTGTGGGTTCAATTCCTGGTCAAGGTACATATAAGAATCAACCAAGGAAGATATAAATAAGTGGAACAATAAAACTCTCTCTCTCTTTTTCTCTCCTTAAAATCAATTTTTAAAAATATATTAATAGATGGCAGAGTCTCATGGTTTTTAGGCTATATCAAGAAATGAGCCCAACTGGTGTGGCCCAGTGGTTGAGCATCAACCCATGCACCAGGAAGTTGCTGGTTCGATTCCTGGTCGGGGCACATACCCAGGTTGTGGGCCTGATCCCCAGTGGGGGGGTGCAGGAGGCAGCCAATCGATGTTCTCTCTCATCGATGTTTCTATCTCTCTCTCCCTTGCTCTTCTTCTCTCTCTAAAATCAATTTATTTATTTATTTATTTATTTATTTATTTATTTATTTATTTATTTTTATCTCACCTGAGGACATTTTTCAATTTTTTGTTCAGATAGAGTGGGAGGGAGAGAGAGGAAAAGAGAGAGAGAGAGAAACATCAATGTGAAAGGGACACATTGAGTAGCCACCTCCCGCATGACCCAACCAAGGCCGGGGACAAACTGCAACCGAGGTACACGCCCCTAGCAGGAACCGGACCCGGGTCTCTCTGGACTGCAGGCTGACACTCTAACGCTGAGCCAAACCGGCCAGGGCTAAAATCAATTTTTAAAAACAGAAAAAAAAAAGAAATGAAAGAGGTTATGGTGCTGGTTGGTAGGGAAGAAGAAATGTCAAGCACTTATTGATTCATCTTTGTTTCCCCCAGAGTACTCAACCTGGGGTGTATTTATAATGGATGTTCAGGAAGTATTTGTTGAATGAATGAATGAATGAATGAATGAATGGTTTGCTGTGTAAACCAAAGGATAGCAGATTTAAAGCCAGGTGTGAAGTTCTGAACAGTAGCTTGTGTTTGTCTGCCTTCGGTAGGCTCACATGCCCTTTGCTTTTCTAGGAACATATACAATGCAGCTGTTTGGTACTATCACCACTGCCAGGATAGGATGCCAATCATTATGGTGACAGATGATGAAGAGGGAATTCAGCAGTATGGAAGCGAAACAGAAGGAGTGTTTGTGATTTCTTTCAAGGTATTTCCAGCTGGTGTGTGTGTGTGTGTGTGTGTGTGTGTGTGTGTGTGTGTGTTCATTTCCTACATAGTTCTCTGAGGGTTCTAGGTCCCTTTGGAAGTACAGAAAAGGGAAAATAAAGAATGAAGGAAGATTTGAAGAAGTTCTGTCTCTTTGTTATTTCCCAGCTAATTAATCCTGACTTGAGCAAATATGGGCAAACTACCTGTGACTGTAAGCCTACAGCGTCCAAGACTTCAGCCCAACAAATCTCTGTTGACAGTAAACTCATGTTTGTAGTTATAGCAATAACAATATTATTAATGATGATGATGATAGGTTGAGTCTTATGAAACTGCCAGTATTCTGTTGTTTTTGACCTACAAAATTTGGCAATTTTACATGATTCCACCTAATAGCAATAGTTGACATAGATCTATACCATGCATTATTCTAAGTGTATTGTTTTATTTAATTCTTGCAAC